GAAGAATAAGAAAATGTATATCATCATTCCTCATTATAATCATTATCTCAAAGTACTATTTATATATATCATATTACAAAATAAATTACTTTCCACGAAAACTAATCTCTGTGAACGATATGTGATGATGAGGGATATATTTACTAATCAGCGTGAATATGTTTTCTATCGTGCCAATTAATATCATACGACGATACCAAATCAGATGATGTTTTTTTTTTAAAAAATTAATCAGATGATGTTATCTTTGTGATTTCCTTCAAGAACTATAGGATGTCGGCCGGTAAGCCCTGAAAATTTAAGAGTCACGAAAAAAAAAAGAAATTGGATCAGTAATTATTGATTTTTGAATGAAAACAAATTTAAATACAAAAATCAAAAGGTGAATCGAATCTTCCACCTCTTCTTTTCTTTATGTAGTTCATGAACCAATTGAACTGTTATACATATTTTTTTGTCGATAATATATATAAACAAAATATTAAAATTTTTGGGTCGCAAACATGGAGTTGGTCCGTTTGCCCTCAGGGTCGACCCGGGATGTCGGATCTCTTCATGCAACTCTATAAGAAAAATTTCTCAACATTTTTCAAACAATTTTTTTGTCTAACAACGATATATACAACATGGATTATATAAATTTAAATTCGAAAAAATGACACAGTAATTATCACTGGATGTCGTGGGCTAGTGGTTATATGCAGGGGTTGATCATGTTGCGTTCTTAGTTTAAATCCCGATGGGAAAATGATTACGCCATATTATTAAATATTATTAAAAGTTGGTTCCGAGCTATGGAGAGATTAAAGCATAGGTCGAACTCCTCCAAAATTTTTTTTAAAAATATGACACAGTAATACACTAGCATCAACTACTAAGACATATAGGTCTCGGTTTTTATTTAGTTAATCAAAGATCTTTTGGATATAAAATTTTAAATTTGGTCATCAATAAAATAAACATTTTAAGATTTTTTTTTTTTTTGGTCACCATTTTTAAGATTTTTTTATTTTATGATTAGTTTGAAACATTAATACTTTTCCAAAATTTATCACTTAAGATAGTATTGTGTATCAAATATTGGAATAAAGCACCTAGTTAGTTGTCACTCGTCATAATTTCTCTAATGAAACTTTTTTATATCTTCGATTGGCATGTGATTTATATGTCAACGGTGCTAAAGGACCGTTAGCTTTCTATAAAGAAAACACAACGGGC